CGGCAAGCGGCGGCGGCGGCGGCGGGAGGGGGCTCAGCAACGGGACCGGCCCCCCGAGGAGGACGCAGGACCGGGGGCCGGAGGGCAGGCTGCTCTCCTCCTCCTCGTACTCCTCCAGCTCGGCCAGCAGCGAGAGCCTGGGGGAGGGGGACGAGCGCCCCAACGGGAGGGGGGGCGGCATCCAGGTGGGGGGCGGCGCCCGCGCCAAAGAGGGGCCCCAGCGCCGGGCCGGGCAGCCCAGGAGCCGGCCGGTCAGCCTGTTCGTGGACGTTTCCAAGGCCAACACCCTGCCCCGCGTGCGGGAGGCGCCCCTGCCGCCCGAGCCGAAGAGCCCCGGGGAGTACGTCAGTATCGAGTACCGGGGGGGAGGGGTGCCTGGGATACCTCACCCGTCGGGCCCCGCCAGGCCCCTGCAGCGGCCCGGCTCCTGCCTGGGCGGCTTGCACGGGCACGGCTCGCCCGAGCCCCACGCCTCCGAGTACGTCAACATGGACCTGGGCCCCCTCCTGGCCCCGCTGGGCTTCCCCGGCTACCCCACCCCGGCCGCCGCCCCGCTGGCGTTCGATGAGCACCGGCCAGACCTGGAGCCCAGCGAGGAGCCCGGCCGGGGCAAGCACGGGGCCTCAGTCCCCGAGGAGTCGCCCACCTTCGGGGATTACACCGAGATGGCCTTCAGCTTGGGGCCCCCGTCCCCCCGCTCGGCCTCTCCGGGGGGCGTGGCGAGCGTGGGGCTCGGGTTGGACTTCCCCCTGTCCAAGCCGACCCCCAACCCGGACCAGGGGGCGAAGGTGATCCGGGCTGACCCCCAGGGCCGCAGGAGGCACTGCTCCGAGACCTTCCTGGCCACCCAGTCCCTGCCCCCTTCCTCCTCCTCCTCCTCTTCCTCCTCCTCCTCCTTCTCCCTCTTCCCCGATCACGCCCAGGCGGCAGCCCGGAGGCTCGCGTTTGACGGCGTCTGGGGGAAAGGGGGCGCCTGCGACGGCGCCAATGAGCCCGCCCCTCTGTGCGCCATTCCCAGATCGCCCGCTGTCCCCGTCGCCCAGGCGCCCCCCTCCTCATCCTCTTCCTCCATGGAGCAAGGCCTCAACTACATCGACCTGGACCTCGCCAGCAAGGACAGCCCCCATGCCACCCTGGAGGCCGCCCCCTCCGCCCAGGTGGCCTCCCGCCTCTACTCTTCGGGCCTCGTGGCGGACGGAGGCGGCTCAGCCGCCGTGCTCAACACCTACGCCAGCATCGACTTCTACAAGTCGGAGGAGCTGCGGGCGCATCAGAGCAGCAGCAAGGAAGGCACAGGTGATCCCGGCCGGCCGACGGGTGGTTCCTTGGTTTACGGGGGGGGGGGGGGGGTCAGAGGTCACCCACGTCCCACGTGGAATTCTGGGAGGTGCCCTGGTGCCAGCTTAGCTGTTCTTGGCTGAGGGTGTTGCAGCAGAGCGCTGTCCCGAAATGAAGACCGCGTTGGCGGTGTGGGTTCACTGAACGTGTCAGTTTGGGCTCAATCAAATGAATACCTTCCTCTTGAGCACCTTAAGCTTTAAGCCGGGCGTCTCCTGCTCGGATCCCAGGGAGATCCCAGTCTAGTCGGGGTTTACCGATTTCTAAAAACCGGGAGCAACTTAATTGCTGTCGGTTAAGCAGGTGGTTTTGTAAAGTAAATCACTGAGGACCCTTGATTGAACAGGCAGCAAGTCTCTTTAGAATGAAATATAAGAAAGAGGTGAAGAAGGCTGGTTTTGGACCACACAGAGGCAGGACATGGCGGGGGGGAGTCTCAATGGATCAGCACGCCCTGACCTGTCTGAGAAGATGGGCTCTTCCCTGGAGTGATCTGAAAGCAGCCCTGGCGCACTGGCGACTCAGCCACCAGTATTATTTCACCTCTGTGTCGTATCTCCTTCTGATGAAGCGCGCCGCCTGGCCGCCTGGCTCCTTACCCAGAGCTGTCGATCAAGTTCCTCCCAGGTGGAGCTGGCTGGAGTCTTCTGGCAGAAAGGTGGGAGGTGTTCAGGTTGTGCTTCCCAACTCATTTGTTTTGAACTATTTGGAATCGATTGAATTTACTTTCTCGCGCTAGACCTGTCATTTTCTCTGAGCTGTAATTATCGGGCTTTTCCCCTGGCGAGACGCCAGTCTGTCACCACCCTTGGACTACTTAATAGTATAGCTTCTGTTTGCAGTCTGTGTGTGTGTGTCTGGGCCTGTGTGTACTTCGTGTCTCTGAGGCAGGTTAACCTGTACTATAGCCCAGGGCCTGTGAGTATTCTTGTGAGTGTGCTGTCCTGATGGAGTAGAGTAATATACACATAGTGTGGAGTTTTAAAAACGAAAGAGTTAGAGCCGATGGGAACAGTAAGAAGTAAAATAAGTGCAAGATACAGAGATTGTGGGAGTTGTGTGAATGGATGATAGGCTCTGCAGGTGTCAGTGTGATCAGGTGGGTCTTCAGAAGGGGGATCAGCAGACTGTAGATCCCCAGGTGTCAATGTGATCAGGTGGGTCATGGGGAGAGGATCAGCAGGCTGTAGATCCCCAAGTGTCAATGTGATCAGGTGGGTCA